ATCCGGGGTTGTACAAAGAGGGGAGTCGTGAATAGGATCAGAGAGGTGATTGTAGAGGATCTACATGCAATGCTGGCGAGACAGATACTGGAATATTGTGTACGGTTCTGGTGCCCACTGTGGCATTACACCCCATGTTCTTCACAGTAATATTATTATATGATTATGACATAACTATGATGTATTTTGTGCAAGATAAGGCATGTGAGAAGTGAGGCATTATAATTGAAAAGGTAATGATTTACTGAATATGATTATCCTATTTGTATGGATGTATCATTTTGGTATCTGAAGTTAGGAATATTGTCTATGCATTGAACCATTTTGGGGGGCTCTTTTCTACCCTTTACACGGTGCTGCTCTGAGAGGCTCTCAAGCCCCCTGCAGCACACACATTTGTCTATAACACAAATGTGTTCACACCCGGAGAACGCCCGCTAGGCAGGATGCAATCAGTCTAGATGGCTGGCTGGGAAGGGCCATTAGGGAGAACAATCGGTTTTAGAAGATGCTAATCTCCCACTGGGGAGCCTTCCTGGGGACATTACAAACAGCCTCTGTCTCATGGCTGCTACGGCCCTACAGAGGCAGCATAGAATACCCGTGTTTTTCCACTGAAAGGCGTGGGAACTAAAGTTGGAGACAAAGGATTCCCGCCATATGCAAAAGCTATTTAAGGCAGGGAAGTGTCATCATCGTGGTTCTTCACTGACTCCCCGCCCAAAGGAGACTCCTGGAAACGCCTGAGAAACAGGTACTGAATGGGGTGCGGGGGAAGGGCTGAGCCCAGGCTCAGAGGGGTTTCTAGCCTATGAAAGGAATATCTGGGGTTTTAAGCTGCAAGCAAGTGCAGCTTGCCCTCAAGAACCTCTGCAAACTGCCTAAACCAACAATTAGGGTGAGAATTTGCTATTCGTATCCAATTTCTTTAGTATATTAAGCTTAGATTGTGGTTTTGTTTTATTTGCTAGCTAATCTGCTTTGGTCTGTTTGCTGTCCCTTATAGTCACTTAACATCTGTCTTTTGTAGTTAATACATTTATCTTTGTTTTCTCTAAAACCAGTGTGGGCAAGAGTCATACCTGGGGGTAGAAAGCTGTGTATATTCCTCTCCACTTTGAGGGAGGGGCGCATTTAATGAGCTTACGGTGTACCGTTCCCTGTGCAGCACAAGCTGGTATAATTTGGGGTTTACCCTTCAAAAGGGGGGGGTGCACGGGAGTAACTGGGCAGTTCTTAGCTGAGCCTTTCCATGCAGAGCTGATCTCAGCGTGTGTGTTTAGCTGCAGCTGGGTGTGTCCCTAACGGTGTGTGTGCTGCAGGGGACTTGAGAGCCTCTCAGAGCAGCACCGTCTAAAGGGTAGAAAAGAGCCCCCCAAAATGGTTCAATGGTTGGAAAAAATGCCGTCTAATTAAGCTTCCAGAGCTGAATGGGTTTCATTTAACACGAAGATGACCGAAGGGTGATTTGATTACAGGTAGGCGGGGGAGGATTATACTTTTATCGTTATACCTTGATAAACGTCAGTTTCACCAGACACACAAACTGACACAATAATCAAAATTAACAGATAGGCAAAGTAAGAAAAACGCTACTTGGGTCTTTTGAATTAGGCTTGTTACAAATGGATACTGCAGTGACTCTCAGCCTTTTCAGACAACTGTCCCCCTTTCAGGACTCTGATTTGTCTTGTGTACCCCAAGTTTCACCTCACTTAAAAACGACTTGCTTACAAAATCAGACATAAAAATACAGTGTGCGGTGACACTGAACAATGGCTGACTTTCTCATTTTTACCACACAATTCTAAAATAAATCGATTGGCATATAAATATTGTACTTACATTTCAGTGTATGGTATCTAGAGCAGTATAAACAAGTCATCGTATGACAGTTTCTTTTGTACGGACTTCACTAGTGTTTTTTATGTACCCTGTTCTAAAACTAGACAAATATGTACAAGAGTTGATGTATTGCCTGGAAGACCTCTGCGTACCCAAAGGAGCATGTGTACCCCTGTTTGAGAACCACTGGCCTAGTAAGTGACTAGTAGAAACAGGTACGATTTGATGATTTAAGGATATTTACTTTGTATATTTTGACAGGTGACGTTGACAATCTGTGTTTGAACGGTTTATAGAGCTTTCACTTTTTGAATTTCAACATTTGCCATCATTAAATAGTTGTCTGATGCCCCCAGTTTCCTGCAGCTTTCAACATTTAAACGGATAAAAATCTAAAAAAACAAGTCTACAAATAAATATTGGTATGATGCCAAACTAATAAAAAACTAAAAATTGAATTCTGCCAAGCCTAATTGTGGTGGATCAGTATCTTCATGGGGAGAAAATACTGGTTACTAAAGGGCTCTTCAATCTAGCAGAGAAAAGGCGGAACAAGAACAGTGGTTTGATGTTAAAGCCAGACAAATTCAGATTAGAAAGACGGCAAGTGGTGGATTCCCCATCTCTTGGAGTCTTCAGCTCAGAACGAGATGCCTCTCTGGAAGAAATGCTTTGGACAAACCTAAATTAAGTAGATTACGGCATCAAACCACCCGCACCCCACTTAGCACCACTCCGGGACCAATCA